AAGAGCACTACATGGCAACACAACCACTGAAGACAACAGTGCTTCAGGCAACTCAGAAAACTGCCCAATCACCAGAGACTCCTCACAAAATAGAAATCTATAACATACAGTCAGCAGTCAGTGGGTCTCAGGGAGAGATGTCACATCTCTTCTAGGTGACAATATCGCAATACTGAAATCTACCCCGGTTAGTCCCAGTTATATAACCAATACACCTAAGCCTCAACTTAGTAACATGAACCAACTTTGTGCTTTATACAGAAGTAGAGAGTCAAACCTGTCACAAAACCTATGATTGCCTAATTCCTGTGTTGCACACACCAGCAGAAAACACACGACACAATAAAAACAAATATGAGGCTCAGGCCATGAAATGTTGGAAAAAGTGAAATGTAAAAATGGGAATAAAAACACATGATATTGGCAAATAGAAATATTATGGCATGTTTTTCAACTGTGTTCATAATAATAAATCCAAACAAAGACATGATCAAGCTCTTCTTTTCTAACACTTGAACAGCTGAACAGACTGGTGTCCCTGTACCAGTTTAACTGGTGTTGAATCCACTGGTTAAGGCTCAGGTTACTTTATTTGAATCTGTGGGTAAATTTGGTTGCAGGGAGAGCCACATATACTTAATAAAGCACAGACAACACAAAACAATATGCAAATGCATTGTGCATTGGAACAAGTGCTGTGCCTTTGGGCTGTTGTTCATCACATCAGTCAGACTGTTTGTGTATGTTTCGGACTGTGTGGAATTACAAACACCCCCATTTCCATCTGGCAACAACGACTGATAAACACATGTGATATTCAGTCCTGTCCAGCATTGGGGATACTTTACTGTTGGTTTAATAGGGTCTTAGATTTCCATACTGCAACTCTTCTGGCTTTTGCAAAGCATAAAGGAGTTATTCAATTCACAGCAACAAAACCCCATAAGCAGCTGTACTGCTGTTATTGTTCTGTATAAACCATGTTACTGTGCCAGAGTTAAGCAGCTTATTTCAATCCAAGCAAGAGGTGTGTAACACTGCTCATGAGTTAAAGTCCTGTTTCAGATAAAACAGCCTTTGTTTTTTGTTGTTCTTTTACTAGGCCTGTCCCTGACTAAGGGTTTACGTTGTCGAACCTGATTCATCAGACTTTGCTTATCGTCAGATGATTGTTTAATGTTCCATTGTTGGTATTTTTCACCCATTGATCCATATTCTCACTTGAGTTGAACCACGTCATGAAACTATTTGTCTTCTAGACTTGGAATAACATTTAACTTACTCATTAAGTCTACACTAAGGTGGCCTTATAACCATAAAACACACAGAAGGCACAACACTGACAGCCCAGTGTGTGCAGATTCAATTACCACAGTAGACCCAATCTACGCATCTATCAGACCACCACCAACCAAGAAACAACATCTTTAAACTTACCATTTACCAAGATTTACTGTATTCTCCTGATTGTAGTATTCCAATGAAATCCTCAAAACATAGTTCTTTTACCAATACTTCAGGGGGATTTTTTCATGCACACACCGAGGAGACATTGATGTCCTGAATGGAAAGATGCTTGTGCCCACCTATTTTATTTTTTACACTTTTCTCACATGAAATACTGCTTGCAGATTTATGCCACTGTATATAGTATGTAAATGTATTTGCATATGCAAATTACTTCCAGGGACTTACCTGCATCCCCTGGTATCATACTGCCTCATGCTCTTGATGAAGTGGACCTTCTTTGGCACCTTGGGCCCAGGAGAACCAGAGACATTCCTCAATCTGTGTAAAGGTCACGATAACGCACAAAAGACTTAATTAATGCTGGTGTAGCATAAACCTCACAAAAAGCCTTCACAAGACAAGGCACTTTGTAAACTGAAATGAATGTAAACCGCTTTGCATCTCAAATGAGGTGAAGCCACCGAGATTAACATTCCACCCAGCTTTTACAAGAGGATTAAAAATGTGTAAGTCACTTTACACACAATAACTTACATCAGGTCACATCTGACAGACTTTTGGTTATTGTATAGAACATTGGAGAAAAAAATTATTGTTAGAAATCTACATGAGACACAATCAATAATGGACACCAACCAACAGAAGTCAATATTAAAAAAATACAATAAAACAACCCCTGTTTTTCAATCAATCAGTATATCCATTATAGTTGTTTTTTGTTGTTCTTTGACTAGGCCTGTCCCGACTAAGGGTTTACGTTGTCGAACCTGATTCATCAGACTTTGCTTATCGTCGGCTGGTTGTCTAATGTTCCATTGTTGTTATTTTTCTCCCATTGATCCATATTCTCACTTGAGTTGAACCACATCATGAAACACATCATATTTGTCTTCTAGACTTGGAATAACATTTAGCTCTATGATAGGACTTGATTCATCGGTTTCCTTACTCATTAAGTCCACATTAATCAATATATCCATTATAGCTATAGCTGACATACAGCTTATAGCCTACATCAGGGTGGGCAACTGGCGGGCCCCATCAACCCTCAAAGTGGCCCTCAGGTCAATTTTGACATATCAATTAATTGGAAACATGAAGAAAACTTGACAAAATCTGCCATGAAATCATGAGAACCAGAAATATGTCCATAATAATATTTGCTCACTGGTATATGTTGAGTTAAATTTGAGACATAATTGGACTTTAATCTTTTTTGTATTCTACAATTTGGCCCCTCTGGCAGTGAGAATCAAATGAATGTGGCTCCTTGCTGTGACTAAAGTTGCCCAATCCCTGCCTACACCTTTATAGGTAGAAGATAATACAAAATAAATGCCGGAACACTAGTCAGAGCTACTTAGAAATGAAAGTGAATGTGTCTCTTTATAGCAGAAAGCACTCCGTTCAAAGGCCCAAGAAGAGACACAGTCCTTAAAAGATGCTCACCTCTGCCGTGTATCCTGAGGATTCCCGGAAGGTACCGGGCTCAGCGCGACGGGTGTTGACCTGACCCGAGAGCACGGCTGGTGTACAGTGGGCAAAGGGGACAGTGGGGTGTCCGGCGTTAGCGCCTCGGCCACACTGCCTACCTCCAAAAATACCTCGTTAGCCCCCACAGCAGTTGCCCCGACTTGCCCGGGGGACATTACCAAAGAAGGTCGGGAAGGACTAACCACCCCCTGAAAACTGGAGGACGAGCCACTGCCCGCTACGGCGAGCTCTGTCACCTGGGAGACCGATGGCTGGCTGACCGCCGGTAGAGGTACGTCAGTTGTGCCGCCGACGTCTCTCTCCCTGAGTCGGAGCTCCTCGCCGGCGTTCTGGTCGGTATTTCCATCGCTGGTTTGACAAGGGGGCGTCCGTCGAGTGAGATATTGGTAAGAAACAAGAGGGCCGCCTGCCGCCGTCTTGAGTCCTTCGCCTTTCTTCGGTGCTCTCGGTGTAGCTTCGCTGGTTTGCTGCCGGTAGATTGTAGACTGCATAAGGCCGTCGCCATTCTAGTTTGAAATGTGGCAGTTGAACGCAACGAGAGAGCGATACCAGTACATAAGCCCCGCCCCTCTGGACGGTGATTTGCTGTAGGGAACCATGTGAGAACTTGTATTTGATTGGATAAAATAAATTATTATGCGGGGAATGTTCGTGGTTCTCTTTGTTGATTGGTTAAAGTAAAACGGGGGGGGGGTTCAACTGAGACAAAGGAATAAACACCAAATTAATAGATTAACTATATTTTTTTTATACCCACATGATCTAATCTAAACTAATGTTTTTCTCCTAAAACTAGTTAGCACTAAATATTATCACTTAATTGATCAATTAGAAAATAATTTGTTTTTTCCAAGTAGTGAAAAAGTTATTTAGTTGTTGGTTATACAATTTGTTAATCTGTAAATGGTAATTTATCATGGATTAATCATATTCTAATATGCCAACAATACTGTTTAACTTAAATATTAAATGATACTCAGTACTTCTTAAATAATCTAAATCAGCAAATTATGATAATACATGCGTAATAATTGGATTTCCATTGGCAGAGTTGACTAACTATAAATAAAAAGTATTTTTGAGTATTGACAAGACCCAGACAGTTTCAGATCATCAAAACCTTCACACATCAGAGTGTTGGTTCCTGGGAGAAACAGGCACAAGCTTTCTATTCAGCATTTCTAAACAGGTCAGCAGAATGTGAAACTGAGATCGTGAGCTCAAAGATGAGCTCCAACAAACAGGCTGCTTGTTCTCTCATTTCCCACCAGCAATAAGAGTTGATGTGACAGTTTGCTAAGATTTCAGATTTTGGTTTCACACCCCATTGATTTGCAATGAAGCTCGAATGACTGTATTTTCTCTGAGATGGAAGTGTGAAAGCTTTTCCATCTCCTGAGTGAAGTGAAAATAGAATGGGCTAATGGAAATACTGAATCTTTAATCATTCCCTGTTTAGTAGAATTACAATGATAACAGCATGCCAAAGAGTGTGTACAGCTTATTGACCTCTATATGAATATACAGCACGTATAGTGGCAAATTCTGTGCTGCTAATCCATCTATCTATCTATCTATCTATCTATCTATCGCAATTTAAGCTTGTTGGTATCTCAACAATAAGGAGAATATCAATTAACTTGTGTGCAGCGTTCATCATTCATGGATCCAAGATGATCAGTCAAGTGACTATATTATTCCTGCAATTCTTTCCTAAAGCGTCATAATGAGATTCACATTGACACTAATTAGGGAAATTGACAACTGTTGGATGGTTTTCTATGATGTTTAGCAGAGGCAAAATCCTTTCCCCCTGTAGATGAATAGTAACTAAAGACTATAAACACCTGAATAAAGATGGCATTCACATCAGCCGCAGTTTGTGTTTGGTGGAAATCAGCAACTATTAGGACATTAACATGCTAAACTAAGAGGTTAAAAAAACAATCCACCTGTTTAACATCAGCATGATAGTATTAGCACTGTGAGATAGCTACAGTAGCTTGCTATGTATAAAAAGGCACCAACAGCAAAGGTCAGGTAAACACATTGCTCTTTATTTTAGCAACAACAACTTAATGACATTTTCTTCACCTTCTTGTTAGTCCTTTTTTCTTCCTTGGAACAGCAACAGTCTGGTATGACCAGTTTAAGGCTTTTTGATTCTAGCTTTATGTTTGAGGTACAGCCTCGCCCATCTCCTGCCACAACAAGCCCATTTGATGGTACACTGTGTGGTTGTTACATGGTGGTTTTAAACAGTTAGCACCATAGCTGAAGCCGCTCTGGCTTTGTGTTGTAACAGTGCTATTTGGGCTCTTCATTTATTCCAGTGTCATCTGGGGAAAAAACAACAACAAGCAGACTGGACAGTGTTTATAACAAAACTGTCTCAGTGTCACAATTTCTAAATAACTTAAAAGCACATGGCAGGACTCCCCCTCCTCTCCAACATACTTCCAAACACATGCTAGTGTGTGAGCTCACACACACAGACACACACACACACACACACACACACACACACACACACACACACACACACACACACACACACACACACACACACACACACACACACACACACACAGTTAAGAAATTTCCCTTTTGTGAGTTTTCTATAGAAAAGCAACCCTGACAGCAGAAAGAATGGTAACACTGAATTTTACTGGTCGTTTTATTCTACAAAATGTTCCTTCTTTGACACGAATAAACTTCAAATACAGACACTGCTCAATCAGTAGACCACCTAATAATCTATTTTAATTAATGCTCAGTTGTTGCAACCTTGTGCACACATTTGGAATGTGTCCACATGCATGTATGTAATTTACCTTTATGAAGTATAAAAATTGAAATAAAAAGTTTATAATGAATTAATTATTTCTTGGGTTTATATTAACAGATCTTTTTTAATCTAAAGAAACCAATGATTTATATAACTATTAAAACTAAATGGGGATTTTATCTGTTTCCTTCAATGCAGGATTTGAAATAATGATAAGAAAATAGCAGACCTGTAAAATAAAGTGTTACCTAATGAACCACATGCCTTCACCATCAATAATATCAAAGCTTTCTGTACAGACTGAAGTCTGCAGCTAATCTTTTTTTTTAAACATTTTTCATACAACATCGTATGGACACAGTACAATTACAGACGGTGCTGTCCTCAGTTAATCCCACTCAATTGTACAACTAAATTCACATGGAAATGCATGTCTGTCCTGTTTCTTTTCATGTGAAAAATGGGTGCGTTATGAAAATACAACTGTTGAGTCCTATCAGTAGAGATCATCCTGGAAATGCAAATCATAATGTAGCGGTTTTTCCATTACATACACATTCTGCAGAAGATGTACTTTATTTCAAATGTGATTGCATGTCCCAAATACAACAGGCTGCTTGTAAACACACACAAATCTCTTTTGTTTTGTTCTAGCTTACCTAAAAAAACAAATACCACAGGAATGTTGGAAATCCCACTAACAGGGTAAAAATGCTTGAAGCCTTGTCACAAGTAATCACATTTTTCAACTGTTTTTACATTCAACTCAAATGTTGCTTTTGAACCACCATTTAGACCTGAAGCAGCATTCTCAGAGACTTCTTCAACATGAGTGAATAGATATGGAAAATTATGATCGTGATCCTCAGTACCTGTACTGTATTTATTGTAGACGTGTTAAAATGACACTGTGACTCTTTAAATATTAACCATGATGTGTTGGCTCTAGCTGCCATAAGTAATCATGCATGTTGAAGGCTTGTCTCTGTTGTCCACCCCCTTAAGAGGATGTGCTGAAGCACCGTCACTGAGGAGGACTTTGTGCCTCTGATTGAAAATTGTGCAGCTCAACTTGTCTGCCTTTCTGTGCTTCTCTCTAAATTCACTCAACAGCGAGCAATGCAGCTAACACCAACCTCCTCCTGTACCACAACCTGACCTGAGAAATGATACAGAAACTGAAATATGCACCATCATTAGACAACATCCCAGCACTTTGCCTTGTGTGAAAAACAAAGACACCACACCTCCATTTTTTCTTTGCCTGTTTGTCCCCACCGCCTCAGAGTACAGAGCGCAATCAAGTGGGCGTGGAACTGAAACAGGCTGCTTGGTGGGAGTCACCCACCTGCCTTTTTTTTTTATTTTAGGCAAGGTGTCAACATGGCAGCGAGCCGAGTCAAAGCACTGTCAGCACATCACACGGTGGTCTCGTACTCCATCACTTCTTTGGGTGTGCTCAGACAGCGGTACTGAATCCTTGGCGTGACCGGGGCGGCGCTTTCCAGCACGAGGATGGTTTTGCGCAGCCGGCGGTCGATGAAGTGAGCGTCCCAGGCGGGGTACTTCTTCCTTGGCAGGTCTATCCGAATGACAGGCCCCTCAGTCCTGGGTGTGAGGTTGGTCACTGGGGCCTGAGTTCCCCGAGAGGGTCGTACCTGAAACACATCTCCATCCACCCCTGGCCCCTGCTCAGACCCTTTAGTTCTCTGAAGGGTCCTGGGGGGGCTGCTCACTACATCAGGTGGGAGGCTGGAAGCTGGGGACACTAAAGCCTCCAAAGGCACCTCCTTCTCCACAATGGAACCCCACCCTGAGACTGGGCCATCAGGGTGCAGCAGACAGTAATAAACAAACATGAAGAAGGTGCCCAGAGCGTAGCTGCTGGCCACCACACACACCATGGTGACAGCGTAGAAGTCTGAGGTAAGAGGGCCGCGGTACAGGTACCAGGCTGTGGTGAGCGCCACGTTCTCAACAAAAACAGTCAAAATGTAGATGAGCATCCTGCAGCGAGTGCGGCCCTCCTTCACACTGAACCAGCAGAACACATACACAATGCCCACCATCATGTTGTAGATGATCTCCTCCCATTTGGACATGCAGAAGTCTGTTTCGCCCTGAATGATCCAAAACGTCATGATGCACCAGTGAGATACGATGAAGATGCCAAAGTAAAGCTGGAACACTGAGGCGAACAGGGCGAAGGCCACAGTGCGAGCCCCTATGGTGAAGAGGTGCCACAGAATCTGAACTATGACGGCCTTGTAGGTCATCGGTAGCTTATCGTCTCGGGAGTCCCTTAGGACTTTCTGATAGGAGGCGATCATCCAGGCGAGGGAGATCAGCGAGGCAGAAGCTGAAAGGCCTGCCGGACAGAGGGAAGGGGAGGAGAGGGAATATGCAAGAGAAGTTAGACAGGGTAGAAAAGGCTGTGGGGGAACTGTCTTCCCACTTACCACAGCAAAAGGACACACTTCCCTGTTCTGACAAGTGACTCAGAATAGCAGCATGGGCTACAGAAGTGTGACTGACAGATGTGGTGATGGGTCATTTTTTTTGGGCACTCACCCTGAAGGGGCAGCACCTCTTTGGCCTGGACCATGATGCTGAGCTGCAGCACCAACTGAGGGGCGCTCTTCAGGAAGGACTCCAGCAGACGCAGCATGCTGATATCAGCGCTCTCGAACATCATGCGCCAGTAGTAGTGACGGCGCTCGGCATCTCTGTGCCAGCGGCTCTGCACGCCCAGGTAGAGGGCGTGGACATACCTGTAGGTGAGAAATCAAGTAGTTTATTGTCAAATGCACATCGGTTACAACCAGCAGCTGTGTGATGAAATCTTCAGAACTTGGGCTCCTCATCACAATGCATGTGCAAATATATTGGAGGTTCAAATCCTACAGTTGTTACTTTTACAATGAAGAAATGATTCAAAACAAGTGGGGATAAACGTTTTGCATCACAGCTTTAATTTCTTCTGAACAAACTCAAATCACGATGATGTGACATCCCTTGTGATGTTTCCTTTTCTTACATAGGAGATCAGACTTTGTAGGCCAGAGAATCTGTGCAGTATGACGTTCTTATCATGCTGTTTGTCGCACACATAACCTTTGAATGAAAAGACTGAAGAGGAAAACAGGCTTTAACCTGGTAAGTAAACAGGTGAAGGCTGCAATATATGAGGATATTACAGTTAAGTTGAGTGAGGCAGCAGTATTACCAGTGAGTATAAAGTGAATTAAATGGATCATGAGTGCAGTTGAAAAAGACTGAAATAAAAAGAGGCAGACAGGTTTATCATTGGCTTAAATTTTGCTAAAAAAGAAGAAGAGAGATTGGACAGATTTTACGTCTTAAGCTTCAAAAACTTTTGGACATCAAACACCAACTCTCAGAAGTCATAACTCATTATTCCAAACTCTGTGAGCTGTCAGTAGTTCCTGCCAAAGAGCTGGTTTCGTCTCCTCTAGGATTTAGATTAAACTGAAACTGAACTAAGCAGCTCTGTGGTTTTAATTTTAGCGCTGGCGTCGGAGGGGGGTGAATGTGGAGCTTGTCTTCAATCCTTTTCTCATAAAATCAGTGAGAAACAGGGATATATGAGCGGAGGCAGAAAGAAAAGAAATCCCAATAAAATCCTTCAATCCAGATTTCAGATTGAAGGTTACGGAGGGGGGGGGGGGGCTGGGCTGTAAATCCCTTCCTGAGCTTTGCTAACATCTAGTCCCACCCCTGTCCAAGCAGTGATAACATACATTGATTTTCTCAGCAAATTGTTTCTCAGAAGATTTTTCTTTTTATGATTAGTCCATTTGACTCATCAATAATGCTATTCTTCAGTTAAGCACTGAGCTGCATACTTTTAAAAAATCCTCGTCTGGTTTAGCAGAGGTGAGTCAAACTGAGAGAAGATATGTTGAATGCAGCATTGTGTTTATTAAAGCAACCAACTTTCCTTTATTATATTGCTAACCTTACAGGTCTGCCATAGGAAATGTTTGTTTGTGACCCCTCGGTGCCTCACTTTAATAAGTAAAGCCGTTTCAAGAAAAAGTAATTGAAAAGGTCTGATATAAACCTTTACCTTCATCATTACACAACACCTAAGCTTTTGAAAAAGAGTGCCATGGAAGACTGAAGCTATAAATGTCTCAGTAATAGCCTCAGGGAGAAGGGTCGGAGGAGCCCTATGTCAACAAGCCCAGTGAACCATGAGGGAATTTGTGTAACCTTTTTTCTTGTTCTGGTTCCTGCTATACAAAGTGTGCCTTGGGATGTAACACAGTGAGAAAATAGAGCACGTATATACGAGCAGTAATGAGGGTCAAAGATACACACACACACCCCCACACACACACACACACACACACACACACACATGCAGAGTTTCATGGTGTGTCTGTATCTGTAACACAGCACCACCTCCCTTGTCCTGTGCTGACATTTAATTCTAGTAGCCGGCATGAATTGATCCCGGTTCAACCTGACTATCAGTGTATCAGTGACAGATCATTCCTGAGTTAACAGCTGAGGGTAAAACACACAGCAGTAATCCTCTTAATGTGCAGACACCCCTGGTCAGAGGGCAGCACCAACGACGAACGGAGCACATGCACACACACACACACACACACACAGCTTTAATGGCATTACCGGTAATTCTGTGCCGCCACAACATTTTAATGTGCTCCTGGACACACTCTCACACACACATACATACACGAAGAAGACTCCAGGAGGAAATAAGGGATCAATATATATTACCCATAGGGCCGTCTAAAGAGGCAGGAAGAGAGAGAGCGACCACAGAGAAAGACACAGAAGCCTACAGATAAATCAAACAATTGATTTGCATCCGATTTCATCATTACACATGATTCATCTTTCTGTAACATCCCAGTGTGTCTATAAAATGTCTTTTGAGTATTTTGTCTAACCCTCCTCCCACCTCAGTTCAGCTGGATGACTCGCCCTGACTGGCAGCAGTTCAACCCTGTCAAAACCCATCAGAGCACTGGAGGCTTGAGCACCACTGCCTCACCATCACTGAGTGAGCAGCTGACCCACAGACCTACTAGCATCCATGTGAGAGTAATGCCACAGAGTGTGCACTTTGCTTTGTTTTTCTCTCTCAGAGCACACGCTGGCTAATTAAACATGTTTGGGCTCAGCTGAGAGACACAGGCGTACAGTCTCAGGAGCTGCTGGGAGATTTGAGAATATGGATTTTTTTTTTTTTTTACGAACATGAAGAGAGGGAGCCCCAAGCCAAGCACTGAAAATACTCTACACAGCGATGGGGAGGTGGTGCACACACATCAGGAAGCAACTCTCATGACATTTGTTCATTTTCTCCGTTGTCAGACTGCTTCTCGCCTAAAGCCCACACACACACACACACACACACACACACACACACACACACACACACACACACACACACACACACACACACACACACACACACACACACACACACACACACACACACACACACACACACACACACACACACACACACACACACACACACACACACACACACACACACACACACAGAGAGAGAGAGAGATTGGTGTTGATGATTTTTCCGGGGATGATTGACCTAAAAGCGCGTCAGGGGGCTATAGTAAGGGGGGGGGGGGGGGGGGGATGGGTGGAGTCTACTTCTCCCGGTTTCCAGGCTGGGCAGAGATGTCAAACAATACAAAAAGACATTCTGACACTCTGGGCAAAGCTTTGCCTTAAAGATTAGGTCTCACAATCGTTGAGCTACAGGAAGGGGCGTCGGGCTTTGGTTATGCATGTGCACAGATATACACACACACACACACACACACACACAAAGGCAGAAGCATATTGTGTAGTTTCCCACTCCACAGTTATATCGCTATGGGTGTCCCAGACTTACCTCCAGACCTGTGCCAGCTGAAAAATGTGAATGATGGCCTGGAGGAGCCAGATGAATACCCTGCAGCAGCCCCGGGCTCCTCCCCCGGTGCCCGGCCCAGGCAGCACCCCGGCCGCGGCGTTGCGGCCAGCGCCCCGCTCGCCGCTGTCCTTGGTGCTGAAGTCGCTCTCCTCCGCTCCCGACGCGGCCACCACGGCCGCCGCAGCCGTGCCGCTCTCCACGGTCTGCGTGAAATCGTAAGCGAACCATCGGAAGCTCAACACCTGCACGACCAAAGACGGGACTATCACAAAGACCAGAGTCAGTGCAAAGTACCAGTAGTCCCTCCTAAGGTAGTAGTCCGCGGCCAGCCACAGGTCTGAGGCCCCGTCCGAGAAGAAAACCAAAAGGGCGCACAGCGTCCAGCAGCAGTCCGGGAGAGAGTAGCGCTGCTCGGGGTGATCGCGCAGCGGAGGCCGTGGGTCTGACCTGGGAGGACACTCGGGTGGGATTTCGTTTCGCAGGGAGACGGGAGCACCATCAGATTTCGCGGCCATGTTTGTTGTAGGGAAGAGAGTGAGTAAGAGATGGGAAAATGATGGAAGGGGGGGAGGGGGGTCGCGTAGCCTGTCGGTCTGTATGCATGCGTGCGGGAGAGAGGGAGGGGAAGGAGGCGGGGAGGAGGGCCGAGGTAGGTGGGAGAGATGGGAGTCACCGCCGCTAATCGATCAGCGGAGGGAGAAAAAAGGATTTTAACAGCGATATAAAAGCGGCAGGTTTGAAGCTTCCTCCATCTTAAGGGGTGCTTCAGGTGTTTGGTTACAGCTGAGGTTAATATCGGTCATTTTCTGCACAGGTAGCACGAACGGCGAAGACACAGCAGGACCAGCTGAGACACCGTCCATTTGGTATTTCCAACCAGGAACCATCATGCTGTTGCCCGGCAATGAAAGTACACAGGATTTACTGAAGTAAAAGTACCAGAACTATAATTACTTTAAGAGAATTGTATCTAGTGGAGATGGAGCTGTTGTTTAATGATTTACAAAGTTAGTTGGATCACAAGGCACGTAAGGTCTGGTCAGTGGTCACATATCTGTATTGGAGTACAATCTTTTCAACAACTGGTTGTACTGCTGTAGCCTCATAAACATCTGAAATGTGACAATACCGACACACCAACTGTGCTTGGCTTCTTTTAAATCTCTTCTTCAAATCTTTTTGTGTGAAAGCTCCTGGAAATGTTTGACTTCTTTAAAAATCTTATCCAATTCACATTCTACACTTCCTCTGTTCCTAGATGTGTCCCATGTCTGGTTTTATTTTATACAAGACTTTGAAACATCGTAGTGCAAAATAAATTATTATTTTTTACTGTGGTTTGAATCTTGAGCATATACTTTCCATATTTCAATGCTCTTTTGATATATTCTTTTTAAAATAGTAAGTGGTCAATGAAAATGATCAAGACTCAGTATAAAACAAACTGAGTATAACTGGATACCTAATAATTGTCCTTCAGTTCAGTAATGGAGTAAACTTTAGTTACAGGCTGCTTTGGCAAATTAGTTATTTTTCAAGTCAAGTGTTGGGATACCTTAAAGAGGCAGTCGTGTCTCCCCATCTAACTCAAGTGGAGCAGCTGAGTCTCTTCTGCCTCCATCATGTGATCACAGTTTCTATTCTGCCCTCAGTTTCTATTCTGCCCTCAGTTTCCTCTTTCTCTTTGCTCCTTCCTGTCTCAACTCAAACCTGCAAAACTCCCCCTCTTAAGCTCTGGTGACTCCAGCCACGGCTTTTCATTTCTGCCGACAGGAAACACTACAGTTACACTTAAAGCCTGTCGATGCTCTCCTGGAGGTATTGATCCTCAGACTGCTGAGAGTCCGGAGCAATACATTACCAAGTTAAGCCCCTGCCTGCTGTGGAGCAAAACATGAATGACAGTGAGAGCGGATCTGTGATTAAACTTTGATTAAAAAGAAACTGCAAATATCTAGAAAATCATATCAAAATCTTTAAATTCATTCATGAAAACCCCCAATATGAAACGTATAAAAATGTGCAATAAAGGGAAACAAGACAAAAATAATGAAAATGTACTAAAATTTAATCATTCATAAAAGCTGGAAAATCATCTGTGACAGCAATATTAGAGTTGGTTTAGTACAATATATTTCAGCCTCAAGACAAATCAGAACCATTTCCCCCATCAGTCTATAAAATACTAATTTTCTTAGCTTTATTATGCAAAAATGGAAGTAGAATATATTATGGGAAATATGGAAGGCTTGCAGCTTTCGATAAAAAACAAAGTCACTTAGGAAAGATGTTATCTCATCAATACACATCCTGGTAAGTAGGAGCGAGTAACTTATGGACAATGACGCATCTTTGTTGACACGGTTAGTGCAGAAATGTACGAGAAGGCCAACATTTCACATGGTTTCTTTTGCAAAACGTATCGTCACAAATATGCCAAAGATCGATGTTACTTTGAATAAAACATTTTAGTTCCCATATATGGATTTAATAAACCCATGGTCTCTTCTTTCACACTGATATTCCCAAAAGAAAGACACCACGGAGAAGAGAAAAAAAAAGAGAGAAACCAAACAAAAACAGAATTGTCACCAGGCTGACAGTAAAACAACAAAAAAAAAAAGTTTGATTTCTTTGCCGTTAAAAAGAAGAGTCGAGTATCTTGAGTATGTGCCGTCTCCTGCTGTTTTGCGAGTGGTACAGTATCTCTGTCAGCCTTTTTCAAAACGCTCTGGAGAGGACTTGGAATGCTGGCACGATCCACTGGGAAACTGTTAATCATTACACGTTTCTGCAAGCAGGACAAAAACAATGTCAGTACATATCAAACTAGATTTACTGCCTTGTGGTCGTTTGTTTCTGCCGACCAGTCAAGTTGGATTTTGCATCTATGAGTATTTCCCACAGACTGACGCTGGATACGGGATACGGGATTTGGATGTATGTATAAGAAAGTACCCTAACATAAAATTAAAAGATTTAGTAGTGACCTAAATTAAATGGAGGTAGCACCCACTTCTTAAATGAAGGACATACAGCTAGATAAAATCTCCCTTTATCTGTCTCTCTGCAAAGCATGTGTTTATCAGTAGACCCTTCTGGCAACAGCAAAAATAAATATATACATGAAAAGATAAAGAAGGGGATAGCTCAGGGACATTAATTGATTCCTGATCTTGACGTTCTCTTATATAGATAAAATACAAATAAACCAGATGGAATAAATATCCACTCGAGGTGTTGCTGAATCATCACCTTCACAGAAATGGAACAGACTTCAGTTCACAGTGACCACATAAATCGAATCAGTCTATCTCTGAGTCCAAGTGGACTAAAGATATTCCCTCTAAGGGTTCCTGAGATATCACATCAAGCAGCATAAGAGAGATGTACGTACAGAAAGAAGGAAATAAATGCCTTCTGCTACAGTATCAGAGAGGCATAAAAATGTGTTGAACACGAGCTGTTTGAGTAACAGGAGCCTCATATTAGAGCAGAGGTTTTGAGTGACATGACAGCCACTGGTCAGGTTGGTCTCGAGTAAGGGTACCACTTATAACTTGTTATAGCATGTTAGTAGCTACTGTTTTTTTCCCCACACATGACAGCTGTAGCTCTGGCAACTATCATCTTCAAAAACCAAAGTAAACGCAAGTACATAAGCCTTAAAAGATGGACCAAAGGAGTGCCGGTTTTGCATAGCAGTTAGAGTGTGTGCTGCATTTACAGAGGCTACAGTCAGCCTGTGCTCCAGTCCGACCCTTGACATTTGCTGCATGTCATCCCCTACTCTCTTCTCCCAACAATTCATATCTGTCTTCTCCATCCCATCCAAATTAAGACAAAAATGCCCCAAAACATATCTTTAAAAAAAAAAGGACGTAAGTGCAGAGAATAGACAGACAGTGAAGTCTTAATTCAAACATCTCTTCTCCAGTTCTTGTCTTGAGATTAAAGCAACATGCAAGAAACTGGAGCAATTTCTGGTGCCAGGTTAATGGGCGCAGTTGGAACGAGTTTAAGTGCTTTTATTGCAGCTTGCTTCTTAATGAATACTGTATTAGTCGGATATAAAAGGCCGTTTTATAAGAAGCCTTGCTAAGACTAGTCTAAAATAAGTGCAAAGAAGAAAAGAGTTGTGTGCCAGTTATAACAATTATACTCAATGTTTGAGGGGATAAATACATTCTTAAAGAAACTCTCCCCTCCGGTAGTTACATGAAAGTAGAAAAACACGATGACATATTATATACTCGTCCTGTTCCTTTATATAGTTTGTTAGTTATTGGATTGTTGTGAATATATGTTTCTTTACATTTCTTATATCGTACATGCGCTGACATACTTGTCATCTAAAATGGGAGAAACTGTGGTGTGAGCCAATTTCCCCCCTCAGGGATCAATGAAGCATTTTTAATTCTTCCATTTACACTTACACTTGCAAAGCTCAAACAGCAGGTGGAGCCACAACGTGCATGAAAAGCTTATATTAAACTATTATATTAAAGATGCGTCACTTGAAAAGGTGAAGGTCTACATTTTATCAGCTTGCTTTCTATAATGTCTTCCTTTAATTTCCTAGAAGGTGGGAGAAATATTGCTTGTATAAAGGGATGGCAGCACAAAGCAGAAAGAAACTAATTCAATTTCCTTCCCTAAAGGTTTACTTATAAACCTGCTGACGTGCTTTAATGAGTCATCATGGTTCAAGGATATCAGTGAGGCTTTCTACATCCATTTGCTGAGATCATCTTTGGAGTGCGACACAAAAACATGCTTGTGTGTTACTTGAATAATTGCTGCAATCAAGCTCTAAACCTTCAGTGACAATCCAGAGCTCAGTAAGCAGCAGGAGCCCTTCACATGTCTGGAATAAATTTGGTTTCAGCACCCACTCACCTGGCCCGGAGCTACTGTGGGAGGGCGTTTTTAGAGCAGTGTGCAACCCGACTTCTTTTTTGTCTTCTTCTTTTCCATCGGCGTTTTCCTGTTGATCTGTCTCACCAGATCATAGAAAATCTATAACAGAGGAAGTTCAGACATGTCAACGCTTGGTTTGAGCAAAGAGTCGAGAAATAAAGTCTAGCAGTGAAAAGACCCAGGTGGTATTTTTTTCCAGTGGAATTTATGTTAAATATGGCATGTTTTAATTTCAAACATGTTTTTAACCAAATCTCTCAGGACAGAGGATGTTTCCCATCAATCAAAGTATTTTATGTAGAAGTGCAGACATTTAAATCAGAAACTGAATGAGATGATTCACTGATCAACACCGGATTTAACTGAAATCTTTAGTTTTGTTTATTTTCAGTCCGCAGTATAACAGAAACAACACGGGCCAGAGTACCTTGAAACCGTAGACAGATGAAGAATGGACCAAGAAAGTACAAACTTCATTTTTTATTGTTCAGACTAAAAGTAAGTTTTTCATCACAGCTGTTTTGACGTCGCTTGTATGTTTTCTGCTTTTCATAACTTTAGGTTATTTGAAACATTTCCAACTTCAAATTAAATTATTATAAAGATTGCACCGCTGAAATGAAGACGCTTTAGTCGGGTACTTCCATATGTTGTTATTACTCATATCTTTATGAAAACATATCCCGACATATGAAACAAGGAAATCATTTCAAGTGAATGGACTCTCCCCAATCTACTGCCCGGATGTGAATCTGTGCAGTGGACGTACGGCATCTTGAAGGAGCAGCCCAGGTAAACTAGCGTATAACCACCCGACTCTGGTCTTAATCTAAACCTGTGTTTGAAGCTCCTGGGAGGAATTCTAGTTTGTGTCTATCTTAGCGACCCCTGTGAACAAACCAGTGCATCTTATATCTTTACTGATGCACTTTTGTTTCTTTAACAAATCACACCACACTTCATTTTAACAGTCAAATGTAGGGGTGTTGATATCAAGAGTTCTAGGATACCCTAACCCTATCGCGATGCGGACAATTCTGGACCAAATAAGTTATTTATTTTGGTTCAAAATGTAGACATTTTTGTTGATTTCTAAATAATACAGGGAGTTCATATTTATCTGACCACTCATCTTCATTGATGATAAAAAGTAGCGATGTGCAGTAACATAGGAAATTGAGGATGCAACCCGTGGTGATGCATTGTGATATTGAATTGAATCATTGAGAGGATAAGCTAATCGAATCGTGACACCAGTGAAGATGCACAGCCCTAGTCAAATGGATCACATCGAGAATCTTTGCGGTGAAAATTTTAAAAATAAAAAGGCTGTTTCTGCAGCACAGTGTGACACCAACCCAACAGCAGAAGAAGTATTACCAATTTAGAAAGAATGAATATTTATGCTGTGGTGTGG